TGGCTTCACAGCATTTTATGAGTTGTTCTCCTGCTTCAACTTTGTCCCCTAGACCAACTTTTCCAACAACACTTGGTTCTGCTTAGTTCCCTACTTTTATGTTGCAGCCATCTATGATTATAAGCGTGTCTTGTTTTGCTGCATGATCAGTTTCCTCTTGGGATGCATGCTTAAGAGTTCTCAGTTTCATGAAAACAACATATACAGTGGTGCCTCGCATATCGAGCGCACTGTTTAACGATGAATCCGCATAGCGATGCGGATTTTGCAATCGCTAATGTGATCGCATACCGATGTTTTATCGCATTGCGATGGGGGAACAGCTGTTCGGCGGTTCCAAAATGGCCACCGGAACACCCAAAATGGCCGCCGGAACACCCAAAATGGCTGCCAGAACACCCAAAATGGCCACCGGAACATGGGGAAACATCGCAGAACAGTGAGTTTTGGGCCCATTTGGAATGCATTAAATGAAGTTTAATGCGTTCCAATGGGCTTTTCCGTTCCGTTTAGCGATGTTTCCCCATAGCGAAGGTTAATCCAGAACGGATTAACCTTGCTATGCGAGGCACCACTGTATACTACATTTAAGATCAAAGTTAGACTCTTATGTCCTTTCACCATATGCACAACATAACTTGGGACCAAGAGAGTTGGCAGGCCATCTTGATTTATTTAAGCTAGCTTGTATGTTAAGAACATGAATAGACACACTCTTGTACATCCCAAGAACAGCAGAGGTGTTCTTATTTGGGATTAGATAAGTGTCTTTTGTGTTAGCTACACCCAAGTTGTGAAACTCTCCACTTAGAGGAGCTTCTCTCTCTTTTTTAAAAAAAATGAGAACAGAAAAGACTTTCTGTTTAAAAAAAGATATTTGGCCTGTAAAACTCTATTGTATTTTTCCTCAGCTATGCGTTATTTATATTACTTATATTATCAAGAAACAAAACAAAAGCAAAAAGAAGTACGTAAATAAAATAAAGAAGTTGCACCTTAAATGTTGCACCCTAAAGACTAATTGCTTTAGTGTGCCACAATGTATCTTCCTTCCTTCCTTCCTTCCTTCCTTCCTTCTTCTGTTGGACATTTTATTGGCCGTGAGCAGGAAGAGGTTGGTTCTCCCTTGTGGAGGATCCCGTGATGGAGGCTTCAATCTTTAAGGAGAAAGGCAGGATAAAAATTATTTTAATAAATAGAAGAAAATACACATATATCCCACAGTGGTAGGCTAGCTCTTCTTCTTCAGCCTTTTCCTGCCCTGCCCTCAGGAAGAATCCCGCATAACTCAGAAGCTTGCACTTCATGGCAGAGTTGAAACAGGTCCCACAGATGTTGTTCGTGCCTTCCTCTACATTTTGGATTATGCCTGGCGACCCTTCGCAGGGTTCTGGCCTAATCCAGACCTGAGAGCTGGGGTGCATCCCCCCCCCGGCAGTTTTGCACAGCCTGTCCGAGGCCAGGATTCTCACTGGTCCTCGTGGCGGTGGGAGCCAGCTAGTAGCAAGGGGTCACCCCAAACTGCTCCACTGGCCCCAGATCCCGGCTGAGCTACAGCAACGGGGTGCTTCTCTCGGTGCACAAACCGATTGAACAGGCTGAGAGAGAAACATTCCAGAGCAGTGTCTCTGAGGGTGAAGTTACTTGGGGTCCAGTGGCTGAAGGGGAGCTTCTGGCTCCCACGGATATTGGTATCCAGGTTTTGAAGTGGTGCAGGATAGCTGCGGACATCCTGAACCTCAGAAGGACACGATATTTTGAAGTGGTGCAGGATAGCTGCGGACATCCTAAACCTCAGAAGGACGCGATATTTCCTCCATGCAAAGTGTCCTGGGATCTCTGCTGATGGGCAGGCTAGGAAGTGAACGATTAAAAGCACCAGCATGTCTCTCTCCTGTGTTTGCATAGCCTTGCAATCCTGTACCCTGAGATTTCAGGGTGGGATGTAGCCCACAAAACACGTTGGACCCATTCCGAGGAATGCAGGGAGATAAAGCCATTTGCAAAAGCCCACAACCCAACAGGTCAGAATCAGGGGCGAAGGAATGAGTGGGAGTTTTGTCCGTCCTCCCCCTTTCCTCTTCCTTTTCCAGACTTCCATGTCCAGTACCGGATCGCTGGGAAGACGGGGGGCTGTGAGGAGAAGTTTTTAGAGGACGTCTCCAAGCTCCTGCACTACCAGGGGGTCTCTCTCAAGGTGGAGACGTTTGTTGAAAACCTGAAGCACCCCCTTCTGCTCTTCTGCCCCATCGCTTCCTCCATGCTCATTGACATTGAAAACGCCCTCCAGGGAGTCCGTGGTAAGTCCTTGATGTCAAGGATGGTGGGCCCCTCTCTGGCTACAGACTGCTGGGAGATTCTTGGGGCCACTTCAGGGTGAAGAACGTACCCACAATTGTCTTCCTATTTATTATTATTATTATTATTATTATTATTATTATTATTATTATTATTATTATTATTATTATTATTATTATTATTATTATTATTTTGTCGTTATTGTTATTACAGTAATGACTTTCCCTGCCACGGATCCCATCATACACATACAGACACATCCCTCTTGGGTTCCCCTGATGTTAGATCCATGATCCAGTGGCTCAGGGTAGGCAAATGACACCAGACCCTCTCCTTGGCTTGTAAAGAATTCCTGAGGTGCTTGATGGCCCCAAGCCCTCCGGCTGCTCATCAGCCTCAGCTCCCTCCTGCCTGAGAACTGTTCCAAAGTGCCAGCCTTGGGGGGGGGGTTCCCCCTTTTCCTCTGGACTCCCCCCAAGGCTTGGTCTCATGGCTGCTCCTCTCCTTCCCTTTCCAGGCGAGCGGAAGGTCCTCCTGGTGGTGATGCACTATGTTCAAAAGGAGAACTCAGGAACCCCTGTGGATGCTAAGCACCGCATGACCCATCCGGCCGTGGTGCGGACCGTGCACACCCGCTTCACCCTCCAGGATGGCTTCTACCCTTGTGAGATGAACGAGAGGGCCATGGCTGACGTGGCATCTGCTCTGCAAAACTTTGGGAAAGGCCACAGAGGTGCAGCTGTTTCTGGTGTCCTTCTTGTGTGATCTCACGTTGTGGGAAAGTGCTGGGGGGGGGGACTTTTCAGACCCGGATGGGGATTGCTGCAGTGCATGCTGGGACTGGCCTGACTTTGCCCGTTGTGGGGGTGTAGGGAGGGGGCTTCCCCTGGGGGGTTCTTGCATCAGGGCTGGGATTGACACACACACACTCCCGGCCATGGAGCAGCACCCTTTCTTCAGCTGAGGAAGGTGCTCGTAGCGGTCAGGGAGATGGGAAACCGGCCCTGTTCCTCTGGGCATGCGCAGACCCACCTGCAGCCTCAGGCTGACTGGGCAGAGCTGGCCGTGTATGCTTCTGCGCATGTCGTGGGAAGGGGCTGAGTTTGTTGGGTGGGTGGGTGTAGCGTTCTCCATTTATTAGATCTATGGTGCATGTTATATTATGTGATGGTGGATGAATATTCATGTTGCTGAGAGGCGGAGCCGAGAGAGAGAGAGAGAGAGAGATGTCATGAGAGGTGGAGTCAGAGAGTCAGGAGGGGCAGATTAAGTGCGATTGCGTCAGTCAGCAGAAGAGTAAGAACCAGATAGAGTAATAAGAGTGTGAAGTTTGGGGAATTCTGAGGTGTGATTAGATACTGGAACTATTCATGGATCAGTTTAAGTTACTGTATGCAATAAACAATACAGTGGGGTCTCTACTTAAGAACTTAATCTGTATTGGAAGGTGGTTCTCCGGTTGAAAAGTTCTTATGTTGAATCTGCATTTCCCATAGGAATGCATTGAAAACCATTTAATCCGTATCTGCTCTTTTCCGTCCATAGAAACTACAGTGGAACCTCTACTTAAGAACTTAATTGGTTTTGGAATGGTGTTCTTAAGTTGAAACGTTCTTAAGTTGAAGCAAAATTGCCCATAGGAATGGACTGAAAAGCAATTAATCCGTTCTGGCTGTTTTTTTGTTATGTAGAGGTGCGTTCGTACATTGAAGCATTAGTTCCCATAGGAACTAATGCAAAGCCGGTTAATACGTACTCTACCACTAGGGGGAGAACTTTTTTTTAACCTAAGATGACCTAAGGTTAAAAAAAGAGCAGGAAAGGTTTTTTTTCCTGTTCTTATCTTGGATTTCTGTTCTCAAGTAGAAGCAAAATTTAGCAAATGGAGTTGTTCTTAAGGTGGATTGTTCTTAAGTAGAGACGTTCATAAGTAGAGACCCCACTGTAGTTCCATTTAAAAGATCCTGAAGCGTGGACCTGAGTCTTTCAGAAGTAAATGGTGATTTAGAGATCACCTGGTGGCAGCAAGTGTAAAAGGAGAGAGTGTTTGCCTTCACATGTGCTCTGGGGCTTGAAGGTCAAGCAAAAGGGGGACGAGGGTGGACGCCACAGTGGGTCCTTGGGCTGTCCTTCTGCGCTTTGCAGTCCCAGTGAGAGAATCACAGCAGAAGGAGGGGGATATAGAATCACAAGAGGTGAAAGGGGAATGCAAGCAACGCAATCTCAGACAGCTGAATTTTCAGCGTTAACTCTGTGAAGGTTTTCAGTCATCCGTCTGAAATTATTTGGAAGTTGAGTCATGGCAACTGGACTTCTCCATTATTAAGTTGAAATGTTTCGCTCCTCATCCAAGTAGATTCTTCAGTCCAAGGAGAGTCGGCAGGAGACCCTTGATAGATCCTCCACGTTGGTTTCACTTCCCCCTGGTCTGAATTGGCACCTTAGATGGACAATGGATGGGGAGGGTGACTGAAAAATCTCACCTTTGGGGTCCTTCTCTGCCCATCGTCCTGGGTCATCAACAGTGGTCTTTCTGGTGGGTGTGATCCTGATCTTTCTAGGTAACAGGTGAAAAGGTAGCATGATAAAGAGGAGACAGGTTGTATCTAAGGCCTGTTGAGTGAGGGGCTTTCTCTGACCCCTCTCTCAAAACTCAGTCCAAAATGAGTACCTCTTGGTCATCAAATGAGCGTCCTTTGTTCCTGAAATGAAGGAACACTGTGGGGTTGTGGTTCCTGAGCTGTCCCCCTTCCTGTCCTGGGCCGTTCTCCTGTTTAGTTAGGCTCTTTGGTTTCTCCAACGTAGAGCTCCAAACACTCCTCTTTGCGATGGCCCAAAAAAAACGTATTTCTCGTGTTGTGTTCTGGTTCCAGTCTTTGGGGTAAGTGAGTCTCTGCCTGATTGTATTTGTGGGTTTGAAGTGCACGGGTATGTGGTGTTCACCAAAAATCCTTTTGAGCTTTTCAGACACACTCGCCATGTAAGGGGATTTGTTGGTCAAATGTATTCCTGGAGACTAGAAGCCCTACAGGATGGCTTGGGCCAACGTGGAGACCCACGGCAAGCAGAGGAGACTGAGAGTGGGAAGAGATCCAGGGTCGTCAAAGGAGAGGTTGCGATGGGACAAGACTGGGTAGGGGCCCATTCATCGGTCCAAACGAAAGAGGGACTGCAAGGAGAATTGGAGGACGTGGTGAGGGGGATCGATTTGGTGGAAAGAACAACGCAGAAACAAAGGCGACTGGCAACAAGAGGACCCTTCTCTGCAAGAAGCCCTCCAAGGGACACAACCCAACCGGACTGTGGAAGTAGCGATGGCGGGTTTTGAATTGCGGGGAGGTCTGTTGCACCAAATACATAAAGAGGAGGCTGTTTGTGGTGCCCTAGAAGTGGAGGAAATGGTTAATGAAGCTTGTGCATACCCCCCAAAGGACATTCAGCATCCTCCAAAGATGATACACTTTGCAAATGGGCAGAAAGTCCCTATGAAGGAGTAAGACTATGAGATAGGCTTGTGCAACAAAGCGAAGAAGCTAGGCATTTCCCACGTGAACCTGTTGAAGGAGTGGAAAGAAAGGGAGGCCTTTTTAGGAGAATTGAAGGATTTGGGCCCCGAAACCTCTGATTGGATGCGGTCACCAGGGAAGGTGGAGGCAAAGGCACAGCTAGGAGCGGAACAAATGCAATGAATAAGGGAATGAGAAATGGAGTTTTCCAGTGTATCCTCAACCAGTCACAGAGTTAGGTCTCTAGCAGAGCATCACATTTGTGTACTTTGTGTACCTTGGCTCAACGATCTCTGACACCCTCTCCCTAGATGTCAAGCTGAATGAACGCATTGGCAAAGCAGCTGCCACGTTCTCTAGACTCACAAAGAGAGTATGGCTTAATAAGAAGCTGACGACACATACCAAGATCCAGGTCTATAGAGCCTGTGTCCTGAACACACTCCTGTCCTGCAGTAAGTCCTGGACCCTTTGTGCACGGCAGGAGAGGAAGCTGAACACCTGCCATGTGTGTTGTTTCCGATGCATTTTCGGTATCACCTGGCAGGACAATGTTCCAAATGGAGTAGTCCTAGAATGAGCTGGAATTTTTAGCATGTGCACATTACTGAAACAGCGCCGTCTACGTTGGCTTGAGCATGTCATGAGAATGGCTGATGGTTGGATTCCAAAAGATCTCCTGTTTGGAGAATTAGTGCAGGGAAATGGCCCCAGAGGGAGACCACAGCTGAGATCCAAGGGAATCTGCAAGCGGGATCTGATGGCGTTAGGAATGGACCTCCACAGATGGGAAACATTGACATCTGAGCATTCAGCCTGGAGGCAGGCGGTGCATCACGGCCTCTCCCAATTTGAAGAGTCCCTTGTCCAGCAGGCCGAGGCAGAGATGGCAGCAGACATAGCAGCACCATTGAACAGCTTAACTAGGAAACCCTCAGCCAAAAAAGCACTCAGGTACCATGGGAGGCTAAGGAGCAAGCCACGTTTGACTTTTAAATGCCCTACCTAGATGTCACGCCCCTGACATCCATCTGCCCTTCATAGTGCAAACCAACAACTCTCTCTGAGGAGTTGGGGCAGTCTTGAAACAAGTGAAGAGAGGGAAGGAGTATCCCATCATGTACTGTATTTGAGTTAAAAACTGTCCCAAAGGAACAACGGCATGCGACCATAAAGAACGAGGCCCTAGCCGTCAAATGGGCCATGCAGTCCTTGAACTGTTAGGCGTTCCTTTCACGTGAATGACTGACCAGGCCCCATTGCAGTGGCCGGATGGGATGAAAGGTACCAATCCAAGATTGACTCATTGGTACCTTAAATTTGCAGCCTTTTTCATTGAATGAAAAGCATCGGAAAGGTAGCACTTGCGCTAATACAGGCTGTTTTTCTTGACAGAACTTGGAGGAAGACAGAGGCTTGGAAGAGCAGCAATGAGGGAACATGAATGGTCATTTGACGGATTAGCTGTGGACATCCCGACTTCATTACGCCTCAATATTTCCTCCAAAGAAAGTACCGTGAGATCTCTGCTGAAGGGTAGGCTTGGAATTGAAATATTAAAAATGGCAGCATTTTTAAAAAATGTATCTGCATATCCTCAGTCTGATCCTGTATCGCTTCAGTGGCGGGATGTAGATAACCAAAGACTTTAGGCCCATTCTCTATAATGGAGCAAAGGAGAGTCTCCAACAGAAACCCACCACCCGACAGGTCAGAACAAAGGGTGAGGGAAATGCCAAGCTGGAGCTGAGACAAGGTGAGCATCAGCCTCGCTCAGGCTATCTGATCATCCTCATACTTCGGAGGAAAAATGGCCCTAATTATCGTAATATGTTAAGCTGTTTTTAATTTTATCTGCATTTTATATACAGTGGTGCCCCGCATAGCGAGCGCCCTGTTTAACGACGAATCCACATTGCAATGTTTTAAATGGGCGAAAATCACATTGCAATGACCGGTAAGCTTTTCGCTTACCGATCTTCGCATTGCAATGTTTTTTAAACAGCTGATCGGCTGTTCCAAAATGGCCACCGGGTAAACAAAATGGCAGCCGCAGCCTTTTCGCGCGATTTCCTCGCTTACCAGGGCAGCAGAAGTGGTGGCCGTATGGAGGATTTCCGCATAGCGATGAGTTCCCCCCCATAGGAACGCATTAAACAGGATTATCGTCGCTATGCGGGGCACCACTGTATGTCAATAACTCTGCAGCTCTCTGGTATGAATGAAGGGAGGAAGGGAGAGAGGGAGGGAGGGGGTGGCAAAACATGCTGCTGGTGCACATCTCACCACAAGGACAACCACACTGTGTTGCTTGTTCCACAGCAGAGACTCCACAGTTATCGGCCAGCCTGGGGTTTTTCGGGAAGAGGGTGGCCCTCATTTTCTCCTTCCGGTGTGAGATGTTAATGGGAATTATGTCTGTCCCGCGCCTTCTCTTTGCTTCCCTTTCCAGACTTCCACATCCAGGTCCGTACCACCGCAAATACAGGTGGATGTGAGGAGAGGTTTTTAAAGACTGTCTCAAACCGCCTGTTGTTTCAAAGAATCTCTCTAAAAGTGAAAGACTTCAGAGACAACTCGAAGCCCCTCCTTCTGCTCTTCTGCCCCATAGTTTCCCGCATGGGCACTGACATCGAAAACGCCCTCGAGGGGATCAGTGGTGAGTTGTTGGTTCTGCAGGTGGAGGGATGGGGTGGGGTTGGCTTTTTCCGTCTGTCTGTGGCAGCCAGAATATTGGTTGACTCTTGGGGCCATGTCAGAGTAAAGAATGCAATGAATACCCACAAATTTTCTCCTCCTTGATCAATAAAGTGGTCTTAACACATCAAAACTGACCAGTGCGGGCTGCATTTTAGCTCTTGCACAAGACTGGAAACATGAGTCCCCCCTTTTTTTCATTCATAGCAACAATAGGGAGGGGAACCCTGCTTTTTTGCATAGAGTGAAAGGGCCTTTCTGCAAACAAGGAGAAAAAAGGATGGGTGGGGAAGAAATTCATATTTTGCACCAAGCATCCTATCATCTTGTCCAGCAGGGACAAAACCTGGAAATATTTCATCTGCCTGCAGATGTAGGTATTTGGAGACTAAAAAGAGCATGCAGCAAGATCAGAGAGAAGTGGAACACGGCGGGGGGGGGGGGCAGTAAATAAGGAGCACTTTACTGTAAGGGTCATGCACTGTTCTGACAATGAGCAAGCTAATTAACATTCAGTGGCTAATATCCTGTTGAGTAACTCTGTGGGCGTTAAGACTGATGACATCACCAGCTGCAGGCGTTACTCTTAAAAGCTTCCTCGTCCACCTTCCCGAAGGTTTCCAGGGTTCCCGAAGGACGGCAGTCAACCTTCGGAAGCCTTGAGCAACTTTAGGGCAAGGGGAGCCTCTGATGCCTGAGAACCACATCCACTGATCCCGGGTGCAGCCGTTTTTAGACCTTAAAGGCTCCCCGCTTCCTCGAGGCTCCGAAAGGGGGAAGCTTCAGATAGGAGACATTTGCCGAGGAACGTCTGTGGCTGACGATCTCATCCACCCTTGTGCCCGGGGAGTGACTCTGGAGGGTGTTGGCTGCCCGCCTGCCCCTTTTTTGTAAATATCTGCAACTTGGGAAGGTAGCTGGGGACATTCACAGGAGGTGGGTCCTGGGTTCAAGGCACGGCTCCAGAAAGAGAAATAAGAAGGCGGTTTGTGAGCCAGGTCTTCAAAGCACCGGGGAAAGAGAGAGAGGGAGAGAGAGAGAGAGATGAAGGCCAGGCTGGGGCCCTAGAGAATCTTCACCCCCTGTAGAAAAGGAAGGAGGTCTTCTCCTTACTTGGCCAGCCCTTGGGGGGTCTTGTTTGTTTTCTTTTGTTGGCTTGTTTTTTCACCTGGCCAGGAATGTCCTCCTGGGTTCCCCCTTTCTTCCTGCATGGGAAGAAGCGGAGTTAGGCCTCCAAAGGTTTACACCAAAGGTTCCTGGAGAGGTGACACATGCCGGCTGGATTCCTGTAATGCACTCTTTGTAGGGCTGCCTCTGGATGGTGTCAGGAAACTTCAGCAGGTCTAAAACTCAGCAGCCAGGTTGCTGACTGGGGCCGTTTACAGAGATCACAAAAAACAAAAAAAAAAAAAAAACCCCGTTG